CCCCATGACCGGACCCAAAAAAAAAAATTTACTTGGGATGAGATTTTAAAAGGGTAAAATTGGGGCTGGGAAGGTAGCTCAGTGGTAGAGTGCTTGCCTTACATGTATGAGGCCTTGGGTTCGATTCCCCAGCACCACATAAGCAAAAATGAAAAAAGCCGGAAGTGGTGCTGTGGCTCAAGTGGTAGAGCGCTAGCCTGAGCTGAAGAGCTGAGGGACAGCGCCCAGGCCCAGAGTTCAAGTCCCACGACCGACAAAAAAAAAAAAAACCCACATATATGAGGAAGTTAAGTTAGGAAGTGAATGTATGTTCAGAGAAAGACTCAAGCTCAGAAAAGCAATGAAAAAAACCCCACAAACTAATTTTATACCTCAAATCAATCCTGGATATAGTAATAACCTACAACCATAAAGTAAATAAATAGTAAACTGCCCTGCAAAAACCAGTAAATCCAAGGAGAGGAAAACACAATTTTTGAATTTATTATACTAAAATGTCTAACTTTCCATCACAATAAAAGTCACAATGCCTTAAAAAAACTGGAAATATAGCCCATTTAAAGGAAAACATTCAATAAAAACTGTTCTCATAAAGATGGAAAATCTACAAGATACAGACTTAAAAACAACTGTCTTAAAGATGGTCAAAAAAACTACAGGACAATGTGGAGATAGCCAACAGATGACAAATGAACAAAATGGAGATAAATACAGAGATTTAAAAAAAAAGTAATTCTGGAGCTGAAAAGCACAATAAATAAATTGAAAAACCCATTAGAAAGATTTAATGGCAGATCTGAACAGGCAGAAAAGCGAGTAACCCAACTTGAAGATAGGGAAATGGGAATAATTGAGTTTGTGAAACAGAAACATCAGCTAGAACCTGAGGAACTAGTGAGACATTAGCAGACTGACCACTGTATGCACTGTAGGGAGGAAGAGAGCAAGAGAACCAGGAAATAGAGAAATAGTTTAGCTAAGAGTTTTTGTTCAAGATACTAGAGATATGATAACACTAGAAAAGGTAAGAATATCAGCTAGTAAAAGGAAAGGAAAGCCATAAAGTCCTGGAGGCTGAGTAAAGAAAGTGGAGGATGTGGTCAACTGATTTGTCAAGCAGGCCAAGTAAGATGAGCAATTAGGCAGACAGTATGTCAATATAGAGCACACTTGCCCTTCATGTTGTAAGGCCCTGGTTTGGCCCCAATTCTCATAATTAGAACTGACCAATAGATTCAGAAATGTGAAGTCACTCATGACCTTTGATGAAACAACTGGGCAAAAGTCTAACTAAGGTATGTTTGTGAGAGAGAGTGAGAGGATAAGAGTTAGATGGGCTTTGAACTCTGGGCCCAGAGCTCCTTTGCTCAAGGCTACCTCTTGAGCTACAGCACCACTTCCAGCTTTTTCGTGATTAATTGCAGATCAAAGTCTCACGGACTTTCCTGCCCCAGCTCCCTTCAAACTGCTATCCTCAGATGTCAGCCTCCTGAGTAGTGAGGATTACAGGCGTGAGCCTGTTGTCTGTTTTACTGATTTTTTTAAAAAGGGTTTTTAAAAAGGGTTTTGCTGAGTAAGAAAACAGAAATGGAGAAATAGCTGGAAGGAGTATGGATCAGGAAAGATTTGTTTTAGTTTGCTTGTTGTTAAGATAACAGCATGTTTGTATACTGAGAGAACTTCAATGTCAATGCCTTTAGGAGCAGGGGAAGGAATCTACTGTCCCAATGAAGATATTGCCCTATTTTGAGTGAAAGCCAGGGCAGATGGTCCACAGCAGTCAGGGAAACTGAGGTGCAGGTGAATTTGAAACTGAGGTGCAGGTAGAAAGGCTGCATGTCCAGCTATGGTCAAAAGCATTGTGCAGCCACAGAACTGTAGGAGAGCTACAGTTACCAGGGTTAAGGTTTTGTTAGAGAATTTCATCAGAAAGTGGGAGGAGAACAAGGGAGTTAGACACTGGCAATGGCAGATCACACTACTGACATGCTTCACACTTCTTCACTCCCATCTATACCTGCAGACCTTGCTGTAAGTCAAGTGCTCATTAACTCTATCCTGAATTGCTGGAGCTCTTCATTGCGAAGCTTTTCTTACCAAACATAGAACACTCAGACTTTATGCTCGTTCTTGTCTTGCCCATTCTCTTCCTAATTCTTTGCCTTAAATAACTAGACTTTCCCCAGTCACCATTGGACTCTGTCATTCCAAGAATTTGAACTGTATGAGCACAGAACATCCTTAGTTTTATAAAAAGAAAATCATGTACTTGTCTTTCCTCCCAATTATCACTAACATATGAGCTTTTAAACATTCTTAAGCCACGCAATGGTGGCTCATGCCTGTAATCCTAGCAACTCTGGAGGCTGAGATCTGAGGTTCTCAGTTCAAAGCCAGCTGGGCAGCAAAGTCCATGAGACTCTGATCTCCAATTAACCACCAGAAAACTGGAAGTGGTGCTGTGACTCAAAGTGGTAGAGCACTATCCTTAAACAAAAAGAGCTCAGAGAGTTCAAGCGACAAGACCGGAAAAAAAAAAAAAAGCATACTTTCGCTAGCACCTAACACACTGCCTGTATCAGAACAGACATTTGATAATTTGATTAAAAGGATACATGAAGAAAGAATATTTGGTTGCATTGGGACTTTTCTTAACTCCATTCTTCTAACTATAAGCTATATAAGCCAAGAGGTTTTAGAGGATTTTGAATAGAACTTATCTTTTTATTATATATACGTTCACTTCTGTGAATATTTACACACATTAGACATGTGAACTTATGTAGGTTGTAAAATGCCATTCGGTTCTACTGAAACCTGAAGAGGATATTGTCACAGCACACAATTCATTTCTTTGTTTAATGTTTTTCTTTCACCATTTCCCTCGCATTTTAAAATGATGAGTCAGGACATTTCATTTGTATAAAATGTGCTTTGGAAGACATTCCTTTTTTTTTGCCGGTCGTGGACCTGAACTCTGGGCCTGGGCGCTGTCCCTCAGCTCTTCAGCTCAAGGCGAGCGCTCTACCGCTTGAGCCACAGAGCCACTTCCGGCTTTTTCTGTTTATGTGGTGCTGAGGAATCAAACCCAGGGCCTCATGCATGCAAGGCAAGTACGCTACCACTGAGCCACCTTCCCAGCCCTAAAATGTGCTTTGATAAATATTTACCTCCTTTATCTCAGGTCCCTTCTCCCCTTCCCACTGGTCCTGTTCCTCTTCCTTAACAGTCTCTGTTCTACTCTCACAGCCTTTTGTTTTAAAAAATAAAACCCAGATTCTGTATATCAGAGAAAACATGCAATATTCATATAATCTGACTTATTTCACATGACATTTATTTTGCAAATGACGTAATTACTTTATTCCTTATGGCTGAATTGTGTATGTACACCACATTTTCTTTATCCATTCATCTGTTGACAGGCTCCTCTTCTTCCTCTTTCTCCTTTCCTAGGGGGTGTGAGTTTGCTATGTATACTTCCCACAGTAGATGGATGACAAGCGCATGCCACCACATTCAACTTCTTCCACTGAGGAGAACTCTTGCAAACACTTTTGCCCAGGCTGTCCTGGAACAATGATCCTCTGGTGTCACCATTCTACACAGTTGGGAGGGCAGTAACACCATGCTCAACTATTGGTTGAAAAGGGGTGGCATGAACTTTTTGCCTCTCAGTCTTAAACTGTGATCCTTCCAATATCCACCTCCTGATTAGCTAGGATTATGTAAATAAGCCACTGTGCTTGGCCTTCCTTTACTTTTTAAAGCATGGCTTCTATTAATTATTTGAATACATTGTAATAGCAACTTTGAAGTTTTAGGTTGGTAAGTCAAATACTGTCAGCTTGTGGAGAATCTGTAGCCCTTGACTAGATGCTTAAGAGAGAGAGTCCTAACTTCTTGACCAAATATATGCTGCTCTGGGGGTAGAGGTAAAAAAAAATGGGGTATGACTCAAGCACCACAAAAAAAGTCTTTTACTAAGGTTCAGTAGCTTCTCTTGGATAAATGTTGTTTTCATTTAGAGTCCTGAGGTGGCTGTACAACCTTAGCACAGTTTGTCAAAACTGTAATTTTAAAAAATTGAATTCAGGACCTTATGTTGCTAGGCAGGTGCTCTCTAGCCCTTTTGGCTTTATATTTTGAATAAGGTCTCAATTTTTTGCTCTGGCCATCTTGGACCATGTTCTTCCTATTTCAGCTTCCTGCACAGCTGAGATGAAAACTGTACTGCCATAACCATTTTTATTGCTTGGGATGGAGTCATACAAACTGTTTTGGCCGGGCTGGCTTTGAACTGAGATCCTCCTTATCTCTACCTCCTTAGTATGAGTAGCTAGGAAAACAGATGTGAGTCACTGGCACCTAGTAAATGTATTGTTCTTTTTAAAAAATAGGTTTTAATGGTTTAATAATTAGTAGTTTAATATTTAAAAGTTTTTAAGGGGTCCTCATATTCCCATTCCAGAAGTAACCATTTCCATTCTATTTCTGAAGCATACAGGTTATTGATAAACTAGTATTACTTGTAAATAACTATGTTCATTACTGGTTTTCAACTTTTTATAAATGTTTTTACTTTAGGGAAAGATCTGAGAGTCTATGATAGCATATAAAATGATAAAATGGTGATCAGACACTGCAAATTGATTTCAAAATATTTACTTTTTAATTCAGCATTCTAAATAAAAATTATGTATGACTTGGTATGACTTACACATGAATTGGACATCCAACTTCAAAATCTGTACTGACAGCAAATAGAGAATACTTACGTGCCAACACCTCCTGGTTAGAGCATAAATAACTGCAAGAACAACCCAATGATTCTACCTTACCCTTCAGTAAGAACACTGTGTAACCTGTGCCCAGCCTACAACACTTTATCTGAGAAATATGGCCTGGATTTCACAAGAGTTACTTAATGGAGACATCTCTAAAGTACCATTTAGAATACCTGAAACAAAAATATTATATATGTTAATTTTTAAGCTTACCTGATATAAATAATCTTCAAATACAAAATAATAATCATCATTACTTGCGGTCAACTTTACATCCTAAAATTAAAAGCAAAGAGTACTGAAAGGAATCTAAATGAATCTGCCTGCAGTTCTAAAGAATACATACAAAAAATAGAAACAATAATGCAATAAACTTACTACTCTGTATGATTATGAAAGCTTCTCAATTATATTTTACCACTGCCCACTGCTAGTTGATCACTATAGGTGACACATTAGTTGATTTCTAGTTCCTTTTCCTTTTTTTTTCTTTTTTGGGTCCAGTCGTGGGGCCTGAACTCTGGGCCTGGGTGCTGTCCCTCAGCTCTTCAGCTCAAGGCTAGCACTCTACCACCTAAGCCACAGCGCCACTTCCGGCTTTCTTCTTTTTTGCTTATGTGGTGCTGAGGAATCGAACCCAGGGCCTCATGCATGCAAGGCAAGTGCTCTACCACTGAGCCACCTTCTCAGCCTTTCTTTTCCTATTTAAAGGTTTCATTAATAATATTTATTTCATCTCCTTTAAATCTAATTCTTATATGTCCTAAAAGTAGAAAAGAAAAACGGCTACCATCAGAACACCTAGCAGCAAGCACAAAAAATCTGTCCTCAAATCAGCTCCAAGCTCACTGTTCAAGTGCACATACTTGCTCTCCCTTCAAAATACCACATCTCTCCCTTGCCTTTGTGATTATTCCTTGTAAGTCATCGCTTAGCAGGACTAGTAGCCTTGACTTCCAATTATGAACTCACATTTTAAGAGATTGTTCCTTGACTTTTCCTGGATAGTATTTCAGTTCCTTCATATTTAATTCTATCCCTACTTTCTAATCAGAACAACCTTAAAACTCTCTTCTAACCCTGTAAGACTGTAGTCAATTTGAGCCCAAATGTCTTTTTAAAAAATACAGTTAGCACAAGCACAGTGCCTCAAACCTAATGAGCATCCTATGCATGGCCAATGAATGAACAATAAAAATAACATTTTAACAGAAATTAATTGTGGTTTCTTGTAATGTAACATATCACTGTATAGGTTCTATTCTCCAATAATAAACAAACAACACATTTGCATTATCCCCAGATGTCTCTCAACACCTTTTACAGTGAGTTAAAGCCTGCTACTGATGTGCCTCCGTGTAAAGAATATGCACAATCCAAGAGATGTAACTAAGAGTTGAGATCCAGTTCCACTACACCCAGCTGTGCAACTTTGGTTAGGAATTCCAAGCCTCAGTCTCTGATATGGTTTGGACAAGTGACGCCTAAAGGCCCAACTCACAGTTCTGTGGGAGGTAATAGAGCCTTTAGGAGGTGAAACTGGGTGAGAGGAAGCCAAGTTGTTGGTGATGAGCCCTGGAAGGGAATGCTGAGAACCTGACTACCCCTCCCCCCTCTGCTTTCTGGACAAATAGACTTGCTCCATCACTTCTGCCTTGCTGGGTTGTTTGCCTGGCTATATGTCAAAAATCAACAAAGCCAACTGATCATGAATTGAAACCGCCATAAGCCAAAATGAACCTTTCCTCTTTCACAAATAATTATCTCAGGTTTTTGCAACAGTAAAAGAAAGAAGACTTACATAGTATTCATATTATAAATAAGTATATTATTACCTACTTTAGAAATTATAGGAAGCCAGCCAGGCACAGGTCGTTCACGCCTGTAATCTTAGCTACTCAAGAGGCTGAGATCTGAGAATTGCAGTTCAAAGCCAGCCAGGGCAGAAAAGTCTATGATCTCCTATTTCCAATTAACCATTCAAAAACTGGAAATGGAACAAAATGAACAAAAGAGCCCAGGGACAGCACCCAGGCCAAGTTCAAACCCTACAATTGACAAAAAAAAAAAAAAGTATGGGTACATGCTTAGGATAGCATCAGATGCTGAGTAACTATTGAGAACACCATTTCAAAAATTAACCTAAGGGGCTGGGAGGGTGGCTCAGTGGTAGAGCGCTTGCCTTGCATGCCTGAAGCCCTGGGTTCAATTCCTCAGCACCACATAAGAAAAAAGAAAAAAGCCGGAAGTGGCGCTGTGGCTCAAGTGGTAGAGTGCTAGCCTTGAGCTGAAGAGCTGAGGGACAGTGCCCAGGCCCAGAGTTCAGGCCCCATGAAGGACCCAAGAAAAAAAATTTTAACCTAAATCCCTTTTACCCACAATGGTCTTCTCCTGTTTATTTTTATGGATCTTCAACTTTACTTATATGAAAAAATTCCAGATCTAAAGGATACCACACTTTTAGATCCACTGTATAATAAATACAATAAATTCTGATGGACTGATTGGGAAGAAGTAACAAAAAAAATCCAAAGAAAAGAGCACAGTATTTATTCTCAAGAACTCTCCATTTTAATGATATTAGTAGAAAAAAACCCCACAGTTCCACTTACCTTATAAATTAGACTGTCCACCAAAAGGTCATGTTGTATCACATTGGTCTTAAGCTGCTCATAATACAAGACATCCTAAATTTAAAAGTAAAATGATTTAAACAAATTAAAGGTCAATTACATTTATAAGAGCAGCCTTAAAGTTGAATTAAAACAAATTATTAATGGTAGTATTACTAAGAAAGTATCAAGTCTACTCACTAATACAACTCATGCCTGAATAACAGATTTTCAATAAATATGTCTCTTACTATCACTCAGGTACCTGGTACCTGGTAAGTACTTATCAATACTAAGTTGATTAAGAGACAGGATTTGTTAATCTAAATCTTGAACAGTGAGTTGGCAGGTTACCAACAATACAATTTTCTACAAGAGATGATACATTCACCAAAAAAAAAAAAAGTAAACCAAATCTATTTTATAAATGGTTCTAAATTGGTACCCAAAAGATCAGCTGTATCATTTAAATTTCTAAAATTTAATTTAAATCTCTAAAATTTCTATTGATATAAACCATATGTTTTATTCCTTTTTTTGTCGGTTGTGGGGCCTGAACTCTGGGCCTGAGCTCTGTCTCTCAGCTCTTCAGCTCAAGGCTAGTGCTCTACCACTTGAGCCACAGCGCCACTTCCCGCTTTGTCTGCTTATGTAGTGCTTAGGAATCAAACCCAGGGCCTCATGCATGCAAGGTAAGCATTCTACCACTGAGCTACCTTCCCAGCCCCAAGACTGAGTGATTTTTGATAGTTCTGTTCATAGAGGGAGATCTAAAACTCCTCTCTCTCTCTCTCTCACACACACACATACACATATGCATGTACGCAGACGTGTGCACACACACAGATACACATGTATACTACTCCAGGCAGAATCAACTTCTTAGGTCATTTTTCTTTATTATATCCTTTATCTGTCTGTTGGTGATTTCCTTTCATATTAATTAAATTTCCAAAAATGTTCTTATACTTAGAAAAATAATATTCCCATGATAATATTCTAATAATATTAGAATCATGGAAGAGTGTACAGTTGAATGGTAACTGTAGGAATGAAGACTTCATTTATTTCTTTATTTCTTTCCTTCTGATTATAAGATTTTAATTCTATCTTACATTTTTATTTATCTAAATTATCAGACTTACTTTCAAACTTTTATTTATTGCTTTATCACAAATATTTAATTAAGTGTGCCAATTACGTTTGTTAAATTTTGTCACAGAACCTTAAATTAAAATGATTTTGAAAATACGAAGGAGGGACTGAATAGACTACTATTCTGTGTTAAAGTGTGGATCTATAAAAGTCATGACTAGCTCAAGTGTGCCCCATGCTTTTCTTCTTACCTCTGGCTGACTGGAGACATTGAGAATGAGAGCCCACAGTTCCGCTCTCAGTGCTGTGGGGCTACCTTGCCTGATGTACTGTTGAGCAGCGGCACTATCTTGCTCCACGAGAACTGTGGAAGGATAATCAGATCTTATTAGAAATTTCACAACCTAAGAAAACCGTTGAACTCTTCCATTGTAAATCTTTGGGGAAGCCAACACTTGTTCTCTATATCCTACCCTTTTCCTCTTTTCCTCTCTGGATTTTGATAGAGCTCCATCTCAGCTTAGAGCTGTTAGCCTTAAACCTGGGTTTATCACCTGGGTTCTGGGGCTTGAAACTAAGGCCTTATACATGATAAGCCACAACATCTACCACCGAGCCCTAACCCCAGTCCTGGATAAAAGCTTTTTAATGTATGAACCTTGATATCCCTTTGCTTAAACTATAGTTCTATGAATCTGAAACCACTTATAGACAATTTTTATATTCAATAAAGTCATATATATCTATAATACCCTTGAACTTCTTATATATAATCTATTGTTGCAAATGTTCTAATATTTGGAAGTAGTAGTACTATACTACTTATAAATAAGAATCATTATATTCTATTATATAACACATAGTTATATATGTATATATATCCTAGTATGTGAAATATAATATGTAATATAGACATTTCTCTTGTCTGCAAAATCAAAATAAAGCTCTGATAAGCTTATTTTTTATGGTACTGGGGTTTGAACTTAGGCCTTTGCACTTGGTAGGCAGGAGCTTTACAGCTTCAGCCATGTCTCTATCCCATTTTATTTTGGTTATTTTTGATGAAGGATCTCTCTTTTTGCCTGCACTGGCATGGACCCCAATCCTCCTGTTTATTCTTTTCTTTTTTTAAAAAAATTTCCTTCTGTTTATTCTTTCCATCATAGCTGTGACGACAAGTATATACCACCATACCCACTTTTTTCTACTCAGATAGGGTCTCACAGAATTTTTTCTTTTTCTTTTTTTTTGTTGATTGTCCAAGGTGGGGTTTGAAGTCTGGGCCTGGACGCTGTCCCTGAGCTCTTCAGCTCAAGGCTAGCACTCTACCACTTGAGTCACAGTGCCACTTCTGGCTTTCCAGTGGTTAATTGGAGATAAGAGTCTCTCGGACTTCCCTGCCTGGGCTGGCTTTGAACTGTGATCCTCAGATCTCAGCCTCCTGAGTAGCTAGGATTACAGATGTAAGCCACTGACGCCCAGTGCCAATTGCAAGCTTTTTTCTAAGATGGCCTGCAATTGTGATCCTCCCCATCTCAGCCTCTCACAAAGTTAAGATGATAGCTGTGGACTCAGCTGTTGGATGACATGGGATCTTTTGAACTTTTTGCCAGGGCTGACCCTGAACCAGTATACTCCTGCTCTTAATTTCCTAGGTCTCATAAACTTTTAGTAAATACCCATATCAAAAAATCATCTTTTTGTATTCATTTCCAGCTTTCTTTTCTTTAATGAAAACATTAACTATTCAGTCTAGAAAGGCACACAAAATAGAACAGAAAAATAAATAAAACATGTTAGACACTGATTGCTAATGTTTGTGAAGCAGTATTTTTTTATATTTCCTCCTAAAAGGGGGAAAATTTCACTAAATGAAAATTAAATGAACAATAGAAATAAATGGGCCATACAAAAGATAGGGATGAAACATATTTTAATTTGTAATGATGTTCAATGGGAGTCAAATCATACACATGAAGCCTTTTAAGCAAATGATTTTTAAAAAATTAGACTAGGGTATTTGGTACAAGACAGTAAAATCTGTCACAGAAGGTCCACTCTGACACAAAGCCTGGTCTGCACAACATAGCTGAAAGATAAAGTAGGAAATAAAAACAAGGAAAAGCATCTTTTGAAGATGGGGGATATTCCTCAGGACAGTGTCTTGGTGAGGGCCCTGCGCAGTCAGCAGGGACTTCAAATCACAGCCTCTCCTGATACAGAGCACAGTCTCACTGACACCAACGAGAGGTGTGCGGGGGTACACAGAAAAAGCTGCGTCTTGGATTCTAAATGAAATGCCACCCCTCCCCTCAATGTTTTCGTCTAACCCCGTTAAAGAACACATCTGAATTTGGTCTCTTGAGCCAGCAAGTATATTTCTTCATCTGACACTTATTGATAAGGTTACTGGGTTTTCCTTCCAACTAGAGATTCCCATTCAATTACCCGTATAGTTTAATATTACTCCTCTTTAGGTTTTTAACTTTTCAGGAATAAATTTCAGTTGAGGCTATTTTATGGAGACGTTCACCTAGAATAGCCTCATCTTTCATAAACTGTAACAATTATGACTGAAGGTTGGGAATTTAGCTCAGTAGAAGAACACTTGTCTGGTAAGTATAAGGCCTTGAGGTTCAATCCTCAGCTCTGAAAAAAAAAAAGACCCTAAAATATGATTGAATGCTTACCTTTCTGCCCAATACGCACATGCTCATTTTCAAAAAGTTCTAAAAAGGATAAAAGAAAATAAAATTATTAGACATATTACTATATTATATTAGATATATTATTAGCACACTCAGAATAAAGCTGCATTTTTGTTTCCTGGCGCTAACACTTTTATTTGTTTTTAAAACTAGATGGCATTATAGAAAACTACAAGAATTTTTCTTTCTTTTTGAGATAGGATTTGCTATGTAGCCAGACTGGCCTCAAACTTATGATCCTGCTGCCTTGGCCTCTGACATATTAGGATTGCAAGTATATGCTACCACACCAAGTTCTGAAAACTACACAAGCATTATTCTGTATTTAGAAAGAGAGTTTCTTGATTGCTTAAAGTTCATACATTAAATTGCAAAAAATAATGAATTAATGTTGTCTTTGTTAAAAAGAGTATCTTCTCATATTACAAAGTAAACGGGACTCAAGAAACAAAGGACCTCTACTTAATTTGTCCTATCATTTCTAAATGACTCCATGTTCTTGACCACATATATGGTATATGTGTGTGCACATCTGAGGGAAGCTAGGAGGAGGGAACAGAATCAGGGAAAGGGGAAAAAGTACAACAGAGGGGCCCATCAGCTGCACTGGACACTGATGAAAATGAACTAATTAACTCAAGGGCAGCGATGGGAGGGTGGGAAGGAGAGGGAAAGAGGGAACAGCTTATACTAAGCAAAAGGAAAGAAATGTACATATCACCCAATGTAGAAGAAATAGTTGGATTGTCAAATCTTATAGAATTCACAAACTTTGTGGGCTGGGAAGGTGGCTGAGTGGTAGAGCGCTTGCCTTGCATGCATGAGGCCCTGGGTTGGATTCCTCAGCACCACATAAGCAAAAAGAAAAAAGCCGGAAGTGGCACTGTGG